CAAATGGATTATATCTTCTTATATTTGTGAAAGTTTGTTTCAAGCAATAAGTTTTGTTAGCCCTTTGCTTTTCGTTCAAAATGCTAGTTTTGCAAAAAAAAAATTTTTGACAGCACTTCATAGGAAGTATCACATTTTCAGTTTGCATGATTCTGAAGCTAAACCTGGCAAAGACCGCGTTTTACCCCACATTCATGCGTCCTTAGAAAATCAAAAATAATTTTTAAAATCAAAGTTAAAATTTTTACTCTTGCAATTAGCAAGCGCTATTAAAACTTAACCTAGTAACAGTCCATGTAAACGACTTGTTTTACGGAATCATTGAATCATTTAAATGTTTACTTAATTATAAAATCGTATTCTACGTTTTCGGCATACTTGGCCTTCTGGCAACGACTGTCTGGGACCACAAAGATCTTGAGTTCGAATCCGGCCAGGGCCTGTTTCTTTTTGCAAGCAAAAAAACTTCTGTTCGAAATAATGTCGGCATATCGTTTGTCTGCTTTTTTTTGGCATAGTTGCCACAACGCGGGTTTTCTTGATTTAAGATATTTTCTTTATAATTAAAAGCCATTTTGATTAATTCCTGTAATTTTTAAGTTACTAACCCTTTCCGTTATTTTTGTCTTTTTTTATGGGTTAAAATACTTGGCTTACATAGTCACCTAACATTGCGTTGTTTGGAATAAAACTAAATGTCAATTTATATGGCTTAGATGCAAGAGTGTTTTTCAATGATTCTGGGTGTTTCGGGAGGGATGCGTTGTATAAATTTTGAGTTTTCTAGTTAGATAGCTCTACATTCTTTATGGCTAGTTTCGGCTTAACCATGGTCGACCCAATTTTGTCGCCTTAGTTGCCTCTCGGTCATTGATTTTTACACTAGCGTCAGCTTAGTGTATTATTAAGAATCTTCTTTTTATTTTTAACTCTAGTCGCAAATATTGGTGCCACTTTTGGGGCACATTAACAGTTTTTTGATGGCATGTGCTGACATTCGATTAGTAATAAATATACACAGTTGATGCATATTTAATTCATCAAATGAACCGAAAAAAGCTGTCTGTTTTAAACAATATAACAATAATAAAAACTCGATTTGGGAAATTTTCGACTCATTTTATCTAGAATTTTTCTTGAAATGCATATTTTATACATACTGTGTTTTTATGTTTGCGATTTGTTACATGTAAAGTTAGTGCGGATGCCTAAAGTTTGTTATATTCCAAATTTTTACGTGCAAAATTGTGTGTATTTGGTGCCAGTTTTGCTGAATCGCTATGGCAGTTTCTTAGCATAGTTTCTTAGCATATGTAGCTGCCTTATTCGTGACTAGTGTTTGTCTGTGGTTAAGCGTGGGTGGCTGAGTGGTTAGTGCGCGAGACTCAAAATCTCTTGATTGCAATAAGTCGCAGATCGAATCCTAGACCTAGCCGAATTTTTGCTGATTCGAGGCTTATTTCTATTCTTATTGTACTTTCTAGAGCTGCTTTTTGTCGTTTTCTGGCTAGTGTTTGCGAAGCGTAGCTTCATCTCTGTGTCAAAGCTTGTTAGGACTGTTCTTGAACATCATCCGATCTTATAGATGTTCTTTTTTTTGTCTTATTTCAAATAATTATATCAATTTCTTTTTTCAAAATCGATGTCCTTTTTTCTGTACAATATCGTGTAATTGACTGTTTTGATTGTACCGAAAGTATTGCGCTTCAGTGTCAATTCTGATTTTGAGCATGTTTTCATATTTTTTTTGGTTGAACGGGTTATGTCGGCTTAGTCGGCTTATATTACTTAGTTTCAAGGGCAATTTTTTTTGATGCTTTTGAGTGTTAGGAGATATGGGTCGTTAAAATTTTGAGTTTGAAATTTTCTAAGAATCTGTCTACGAAAAGCTTTCAGACGACGGTATGTACTTTTTTAGACTTTTACCAAGTAATTTTTTCATCTTAATATTTCAATAAGCCTCTGTGTTTATTGTTTTCCTCGACCTGTTTTTCTCAAACTGAACATCATTCAGGGAACGTATGAAAGTTTTGTACAGATTATTTTGTAATGAAGTTACTAACTTGAAAAATAAGTGACAATCATAAACATATTTTTGAAATTCGAAGCGCTTAACGTGACATTTTTTTTTTTGAAATTTGAAAGTTGATAATTGTTTAAATCGTTCTTTTCACTTATCCAATCATCTTTTTGCAGTTTATTTTTTTGGGGCAATTTTAAATCACGTTTGAAGTTTTGGCATCGAGAATGGCCTTGTGGGATTTGTTCTTATTTGGTCTATAAGACTCAAAAATTGGGGAAAACATTTGATAAAAAATATTTTTTGTTAGTTTTTCGTAAGTTGACGCTTTTCCAACTGCCTGTTAGTTTTTTTGAATCTGAACTTATAGCAAAACTATAATTATTTCAAGAAATGCAGATACATGCAGAGTAGTTGTACAAGTTTTGTGTGTTGGGCGAGGTAAGAAAAAAAGAGAACCCCACCCAGTAGCGGAAGAGTTGGTCTCTTGAGAGCTGAATTTGAGAATGTCATTTGGGATTGGGATCAGCTATTCGGAATAATAGCTTTGTTTTTTCAATTTACCTCATAGCAAATCCCCAATCAAATTTAGTGCAATGTACAATTGAGAAACAAAAGCCGCCTTTGTTGCGGGGATTCGTGTTTAGATTTGGGAGCTTATGGAGAAAAGTCGGGCATTTAGGAATTGTGCTTGCGAAGAATTAAGAACTTATTGTTTGAGGTGAATTCAAAAGTGAAACGCGGCGCGATAATTCTTCAAAGATTTAATAACTGCCTTTTAGATAAGCTATTGTGAACCATTGTTTGCTTATGCTCATTATACTCAATGAAAAAGCATGGGTGGAGCTATAGTTTATATCCTTATTAATTTACCATTTGGCCAAAGCAACAAATACCCTACGAATAAGAATGCACAAAACAAAGCTGACTCGAGGCATTATTGCCAAAATTGACTGGAGAGAGAACAAAGCCCCTCTTATCCGGAGGCTGGTCAGTCCAAATCCAATCCCCCGCTGAAACTGTTCAGTCCCGACTCAGACCCCAAACTAATCTAAAGCGGACAGGAGAGAAAAAACCACTTCTCATGTCTCGAAATTTAAAAAAATGAACCGGTTAGAAAGCTATGCTATTAAAAGTGAAAGTTTTCATTTAAAAGTAAAATTAAAGTTTCCGCTAGCTGTTCAAGTAGCGCTGAGTGTTTCAACCTGTGGGTATTTAAAAATTAATTAGCAAAAAAAATTCATTTTGAGCTTTCTTCAAATTTCATGTCATTTGTTTTTCCGACCATTGAAAATGGGTAAGATTTTTAGTTTTTGTTCCGACCATTGAAAATGGAGAGGAACATGGTATTCGAGTAAGTTATAGTTTTTTTGCAAGCAAAATCAGGTACCTTAAATAATCATTGAAATGGGCCGAGTGACATGACATATCTAATTCAAGCCCTTTCAGTAGTGATTCAAACGAAATCAGAAAATTTTCAAAAAATTGTATCAGTGTCGATTAAAACTGTTGAAATTTTTGAGGTTTAGTCTAATTTCGAGCGAATAACGCGATCGAGTAACGCTCGTTATAAAGAAATTTACTGTTTTTATCAGACTTTTAGAATTAAAAAAAATGAGTTTTATTATGAATACTGGTTTTGGATGTTTCATTTAGCTCTTGTTTGGCAAAAAAGTTTTTTCTAAGAATAAATTCAAATTATTAGGTAAAAATTGGGGAAAAAAATCAGTTTTTGTTCATTTATTTGTTTTATTCATTTTTAATACAAGTTTTGTCGATAATGCCTAATTTACTTATTTTCCACGCGATCGTATAGTTCTCAAATCACACCGCCCACAAGAAAATAAAATAAACTTTTTTTTGAGTATGGTCAGAACATTCTGTGCTTACTTGCACAGCAACCGGCCATCCTTGTTTTTTTTCTTTTTGTTTTCCACGCAAAATTAGGTACCACAAACAACCATTGGAATGGTTTGAGTTATGTGTCATGTCGAAGCCTTTTCGCCTTTTCAGTCGTGGTTAGACCGACATCAAAAAAAAATCAAAATGTCCCAGTATCGAGAAAACAGGTTTAAATTCGAGCGAGGAAAGCGAATAAACAGGCTTAACAGCTTATTTTTGCCTAATTTAGGCGATGAAAAGTTTGTTTTTCTCGTATCTTTCTATCACGCCGCGCAGAAAAAACTACATTTGAAAAAAAAATCAAATGTAGTGTCGTGTTCAGGTTTCGGAAAGTAAGTTTTTTGTTCTGCAAAGAAATTTTGTGTTTTTCTTTATTAAGAGTTAGCCTCAGAATCAGTAGCTACTACTTAAATGAAGTAAAGAGATACTTTTCGGTCCGTTGTTCTGATTAACTACTGACAGATTGAAAAAATAATCTACAACTGAGAACGATTTTTTCTCGAGATTAAGCGCTTATTAGAAACTTGGTAGTGCTATTCGAATCACGACTAAAAGAGCTTCATTTTGAGTTTTCAGTAGACCTCATCTTACTTTTAATTGTGGTCCCTGATTTGTTTTTTCGAAAAATCTGCTGCTCCACATGATGTTCTTAGGTGTAGAGAGCTGATATGTTTCTTGTGCAAAAGAATAAAAACTATCTCAGTCTAATTCGAATAAGAAAATGCAGAGATCGCTGTCAGGTGTCAGCATGAGCTAATCTGTCAAATAGACTGCGAAAAATTAAAGTTCATAGATTTCTGAACGCTCATGACAATAATAACTAAATTTTCTTCTGATGATAGTAGTATCTACTTGAAGTTTGGAATATGGACCCGCGAGATAACTGAAAGTCAAATTTGTCAAAAGTCGGCTCGCCGTACATAGTTTATTTGGATTTATCTGTCTTTCATTGCAGGTTTAAAATGATAATTGATACTTCAAAAGCTATAATTTATCTTCAAAGCTTCTGGATATATTCATGTTCTACAATTAATACATAGTTGAGAGTGAACACAAGCAACGCTACAAACTTCTCAAAATGGCCGAAAAGTCAAACGGCGTTATGGTCAATTTAAACAACATGTCAATACACGGCGACTCGGATGTGGACTCGCCAATGGGCTTCGCGCCATTCCACCCTGAAGCAGACGAGCAACCGTATGACAAGCAATTAGTCAGTGTCGATGTCGACACTCGTAAATTCATCGTAGTTGTAGCTATCGACTTTGGAACTGCCTACAGTGGATATGCCTTCAGTTTCACTCGAGACCCATCATCTATTCATATCATGAGACGCTGGGAGGGCGGGGATCCAGGAGTCGTGAACCAGAAGTCGCCCACTATCCTCCTTCTGGACCCGAACGCAAAGTTTCACTCTTTCGGGTACGCAGCCCGAGACTACTTCCATGACTTAGAGCCACAAGAAGCAAAGAAGTGGCTTTACTTCGACAAGTTCAAAATGATGCTCTATGACGTCAGTGAAATAAACAACGAGACCATGATTAAAGCTCTGAATGGGCGCGAAATTCCAGCGTTTAAAGTCTTCTCATATGCGCTGAAGTTTTTCAAAGAACACGTGATCGAAGAGTTAAATGATCAATCCTCGACCGCGAAGATAACCCTGCAAGATGTTAAATGGGTCCTTACAGTGCCGGCAATCTGGAAAGAGTCTTCGAAGCAGTTTATGCGGAAGGCAGCATACGAAGCGGGTATGGCTGACTCTTCAAGCGAGGACAGACTATTGATCGCACTCGAACCAGAAGCAGCCTCTATATACTGCCGTAGACTTAGAAAAGTTGAACTTGCTGCGAACTCGAAACATAACAGACTCGCGCCAGACCCTTTTAGCGACGTTATTGCTGATATTCCTGAAAGACTAAGACCTGCTGCTAGTTTGGACGACGGATCTAGATATGTTGTCTTGGACTGCGGAGGCGGAACTGTAGACGTTACTGTTCATGAGATGGACGCTGATACAGGATGTCTGAAAGAACTTATGAAGGCCTCTGGGGGTCCATATGGTTCCGTGGCTGTCGACTTGGCATTTGAAAGTCTTTTGAAACAAATATTTACTGCAGAGTTCATAGAACAATACAAGCTGAAGCGACCTGCTGGTTGGGTCGATCTTCTGACTGCGTTTGAGTCCCGCAAGCGAAGCGCGTCCCCGAACAAAGAAATGAATATAAACGTATCAATACCGTTCTCTTTCTTCGACTATTACAAAAGAGTCAAAAGTCATACGGTCGAAAGTGCGATTAAAAAGTTTGACTCCAAAGATATCAAATGGTCGCATGAAGGAATGCTGCGAATAACTCCAGCTGGCATCAGAGCACTTTTCGAGCCTACAATCACCGAAATTCAGAAAATCATTGACAATGTGCTGTCCACTGTGGGAAACCTTCATTTCATTTTTCTAGTTGGAGGCTTTGCAGAGTCTCCTGTTTTACAGCAGGCAGTTCGAAACTCCAACGAGCCCAACGGGATTCAAGTTATAATCCCCGAATCCACAAGTCTGTGTGTTTTGAAGGGAGCCGTGTATTTTGGTTTGGATCCCAACATAATCAAGATCAGAAGGCCCAAGTTGACGTATGGGGTGGGGGTGTTGAACAAATTTGTAGCCTCGAAACACGACCGGAAAAAATTGGTTGTCGGTAAAGACGGAACAGAATGGGTCACAGATATTTTTGACCCCTTTGTCAAGACAGGTCAGGCGATTTCTCAAGGTCAAATCGTGACCCGAAGTTACACACCGGCTAAGTCAAATCAAAAGGTGATGGAGATCAACGTGTACGCGTCCGATAATGAGTCAGTGACCTATATCACAGACAAGGGTGTGCGACGATGTGCAACTATGAAAGTTGATTTGACGGGTCTTTCTCCAATTAAGGCTTCAAGCACAGGGTCGAGAAGGAGACGGGAGTTGCAGCTGACCATGCAGTTTGGAAACACAGAGGTGAAAGTCATGGCTTATGACGTTACAACTGGCAAGTTGATCAAAGCGGATATTGACTTCCTTTCATGACGTCATGAAATGACCTTGAAATACGAAAGAAAAAACTGAATTATCACATATTACGCTGCTCTATGTATAGTTTCTTCCCTGAATCATGTTATTTGTACCTTGAACTGTTTAGATGGTTGTAAATAAATGTCTAGAACAACCTTGCATAAAATGAATTTGGTGGAGAATTTTCGAATTGTGTCTCATAATGTATTTCCAGTTGGCGCTTTCAAATTTTATTAACTTATTATTGAGATCGTCAAGTGTTCTCTTGATAACACGGCTTAATTAACGTTTCCATGTTCTGATTCTATTTTTTGGGCTACATTGTAATACCGTTGCTCGTTTCTTTTCCTTTTGGTTTTGTGTTTATATTGCTGTAGTTTTTCTATTTCTTCGGTTTTTCCATTTGTTTAGTGCAATACTTTTCAATTCCATTGTAATTGTAAATGTAAATTCCAACTCAGCTGGTTGCTTATTAGTGAAACACTAATTCTGGTTCAAATAAAAACCTTTCGATTGCAAAGTTTTTAAAAGCAATCTATGAGGTTACTTGTTTGCAAATAGTCTTTCTAAAGTCGTATGTTACGTTTTGTGACAAAAAGTTACGGGGCATACCCAGTAGCGAGTTGAGGGGGGGACCCCTGCCGACCCAAAGAGTCTCCCTTTTTTACATTTTGAGAACGCCGTTTTTTGAAAAACTTATCTGCGGCGCAGTAATTTTGGTCAATATAGTAATTTGGGAGAGCTCAGAAAATCAATTTGGTCGACCTAAAAAAAAGGTCGTCACAATTTTCGAATTTTTCTTGAATTTCCGCCCCCCCCCCCCCTCGAGGAAATCCTAGATCCGCCCCTGCTTCTATAAAAAAAGCTTTTTGTTCCGACCATTGAGAATGTGGAGGTACTTTGTATTCGGGCGTGTTTTACTTGGTTTAATTTTTTCTCCGCAAATTCAAGTACAACAAATATTCATCGTATTGAAGCGATTGATGTATCAGTTCGAAGCCTTACTAATTGTTATTCAAACATCAAAAAAATTTCAACTAATTGTTCAAGTGTCGAAAAAAGCTCGCCTTAAGTGTTTAAGATTATAGTCTATTTTTGAGCGAGTAGCGGCATCGAGTAACGTTTGCTATATGAAATTCGACTTGATTTTTCGAAAACTTGATTTTTCGAAACCAAAAACTTAATTTAAAACTTCTTTAAGTGCTTCCTGGACAATAAAAAGTTTACAAAAAATGAAAAATTATTGAGCAAAAAGATGAAAGCAAACCACTATCAAACAGCAAAAGTGCAAAGGTCACGAAAAACGTGATCGACTTCTAATTTTGAAAATAGAAATTCATTATCAAATTTTCCAGCGAAATAAAAGTTTACCTATTGATCCAGTTTCATCAAATTTGGTTAGGTTTATCAAAAATGTTTCCATCATAAATTGTTCTAGAAACTCAATGAGTTTTAAGATCATCTATATTTTTTCGAAGATTGATGCTTAAAAAACAAGTCAATCTTTTTTGAAGTCTGTTTACTTGCATTCACTGAATCTTTTTCAACAGTCTATTGGTTATGTTAATTAATTATTAGGAACACCGGGTTTTGTGATGCTTTTGTGCTTTCTTATGTCTATTTTTGGTTTCTTTCAGTTCATTTGATTTTCCAACTTTGGTACGTTTTCATTCTGAGGTTTCGTACTTGAAATTTATCTCAATTTGGTAACACTTTGTCAAACTTTGATGTAAATTGTGGCCCAACTTTGACGTTAGATTTAATAAATGATTGAATTTTTTGTCGGTCGTAAATTCTTGTTGTCCCGACCATTTGAAAATGAGGAAGAAGTTCGGCTGTGTTTTAGTGTTTTTTCTTCTTTCTTTTAGTTTTTCACGCTAAATTAAGTAACACAAAAAAATCATCGGATAAGGTAGAGTCATAAATCATGTTACAGCCCTTTTAGTCTTGTTTCGAATGACATTTAAAATTTTCCAGAAAGTTTATTTTTTTATATATTTTTGAGTTTTAAAGCGATCGAGCGAGTAAAGCGATCGAGTAACCTTTTTTTGTACATAAATCTTGGCCATATAAATTAGAAAACTTGATGTTGCTTAAAAGAAATCTAGTTTTGGAAGCTTCATAAAGCGCTTTCTTCGGCGTTAAAATTTTCATACAAACTTAAAATTTTTAGTGCAAAAATTTTAAAGTTTTTTTTTGTATTTTTTTTGCCATTTTTCTCGGTTCTTTATTTTTTGAAGACAATCACATTGTTTAATGCCTAATTTGCTAATTTTCTACGCGTTTGTTATTTTCTATTATCACACCTCGCAGAAAAAAAAAACGATACTACTTTGAAGATAGAACATTTTTGCAGTTTTTTTTTTACGAATGTGTTCAAAACATTCTGTGCTACTTGCACAGCAACCGGCTGCCCTTTATTTCTAGAAAAAGTCACGCTCAAATATGATTTTTTGATTTTTGTTTTCTTAAGTAAATATAAGTTCATTTGCTAAGTGGAAAAAATTTACACACTCAAAATGGACTTCAATTTTCAGAATTCCCAGCGGAATTGAAGATTTACCTGTGGGCTTCATTTTCTCTGATTTGGTTAGTTTATTACGCTTGCGATCAATAAGCCTTATCATAGAAAATATTTCAATCAGAAAACAATCTTAAAATTGAAGATTCTTTGTCTCGTCTATCTGATGACAAAACAAATAGCAAAAAATGTAACGGAACAGACATAAGCTTTCATCTGATGACTTGAAAACTTTTGTCTGTTCCGGTACATTTTTGCTATTTGTTTTGTTTTTTGTTCATAAATTTGCATTTTATCTATTACATAGGTTTGTACACTTGAATGTTTGCTGTATTTCAGTCTGATGATGATCTATAATTGATCGAAAACGTTCATCTTGATTGTTTTTTCTGGGGAATTTTTTCATTACAACAGAAAGCTATTGATGTTTTAAAGTTTCAAGCCGTCTTTCCGAATTGATCGTGAATGGGGCTTAGGAAAATTGGTTCGTTCTTGTATTGGACAGCAGTTTGGTCCTGGTCTTTCCAGTAACGGGCATCGTTTATCGTGTCTTTCCAGTAAGGGGCTTCATTTATTTTATTCTGTTTTTTTTTGGTTATTTTTCTTTCCGTTGCTTTTAAATTGATTGGTTAGAATGATTTGATTAGACTTTCATAAGTTTTTGGTTTTCAAAGATTGTCTGCATTTTTGAAGGAATTTATTCGAATTTGTTTATGGTTTCTTAGAGTTTGTGTTCAATTTTATTTCCTTTTATCTCATTCATTAGGAAGCAATGAGGTGTTTTTAGACTTTTTCGGGTTAACAACTTTTTAACAGAATCACTTGGTATATTGGATCTTAATGAATTCAAATTTCGAAGCGTCTCCGGCACATCAGTCTACAGGTAACGAATATTCCTGGGATGGCAAAGGTCCTGGGTTCGAATCTGACCAGGACCTGTTTTTTTTTCAAAAGCGAAACATTCCGTTTCAAAAAAATTGTGGATTATTATGTAAGCTTATGTTTTGTCAGCTTAGTTGCCACATCTCAGAATTGTCGGCGTATTATGTCTGTTTTGTCGGCATAGTTGCCACATCTATATGTTTTCTTTTACTCCTACAATTTGTAATTCACAGAAGCTTGACTTCGTATATTTTCTTTTTTTTTTCGCTGAACAATTTTTTCGGCCTAAATGATTTCGGCTTGTACTTTATCGGCTTACTAATCCAACTTCGAGGAGTTCGAGGGAAACATTATTTGTATGCTTTCCTCTAGATCGCAATAAACGTAAAATTCTCAGAACTAAATTTATAGTTCAAAGTTTTTCATGACAACAATTTTATTTTTGCTCAATAAATCTTTTTTAGTTTTCATTAAACGCCGTTGAATGAATTTCTGGGCGTGTTTTCTGCAAATAGAACATCATACCAGACAACATATTTAATTTTTCACTCATGATTTGTGGAAAATGTTTTCGGTTGCTTAGGACTTAGTAGCTCTCCATTCCTTTCCTGTCTGCTAGCTTGCAATGCTTTTTTTGTGGAATCGCAAGTGATGCGAAGCTCCGTCTCGCCTCAATGTAAAAATTTTTGGAAGAATTTAAGTTAGAAGACGTTAAAATTCTTTGAGCTAAACTTCAAATTTTGAATTTTTTATCAGCTATTAGTAATGAAATTTGATAAACGAAGCTTCATGATAGCTTGAAAAACCCAAAGGCTTGTTTTCTTTTTTCTTAGTCGACGATGTTTTAAAAAAATAGCTTATTGCTTTTGCCTCAGTATAAATGAATCAGTAAAACAAATAAAGAATTTTCCTTGTATCCTATGCAAACATATTTTGAAATTTCGAACAATTTTGTGTAATTTATATTTCCCTCTTTTGAATTGCTTTTCTGAGACAACTGTAGTCTATTTTGATTTTTTGTTCTAGTATTTTAAGTTAAAGTTTTTGCCTTTCTCCTTATTTAATTTCACAGAAACGGCACAAATTTAAGTAGAGAAAAAACAAAAAAAAATAATCTTCCCTTTGAAACTTTCTGCGCTACTTGCTTAACAACCGGCTTCTTTGGGAACCGGTAGTGCGAATTGTTCCCAAAAACAACTTTCCTGACAAATATGTTAGAAATTTTTGTTGAACCTAAACAACTTACTGGATCTTCTCATTTAGTCCAGAAGTGATGCGGGCAACGTTGCATTCTAATGTTTATTGTTCCCGGGCGAGCCTTGTTTTTTTTTCAGAGTCTGTATTTTTATGGTTTTCTGGACTTTCGTTTATTTTCTCATTTTTGTTGGCTGAATATGCGAAGCTTGGATTTTTCTTATGGTTTAAACAATTTTTTACTAAACTTTTACAATCGTTCTGTTATTTGTAAGTTTACCAACTTGGATTTTCAAAAGTTTTGTTCGTAAAATTTGTTTCTACTTATGTTTTATTGGCTTAGTTTCAATTAGTTCGATTGTATGAATGAAAAATATTGATTTTCTTGATTTTGCGAAACTTAATCGTTCAAATAAAA